TGGGTTGCAGGGGATGTAATAATACATCATTAATGAGAAAAAATATTAATTACATTTTCCAAAAAGTGAACATAGCAGAGAGCAAAGCAGAGCTGCAATGCTGCAGAGCTGCTGTATGACTCCACATTATGAGAGACACTCCGCAAATTTACGCGCAAGGAGCAGCATAACTTCATTATTTCAGAAGCTAAAATTTTAGTTCTGTTTCCTCTGTAAGTTGATAACTACAGTTCTTAGTTTTGCTGCTTAAATGTCCAATGATATGTGCTGCATTCACATCACTGCTCTTACTGTGTTCCTCTCAGCCGAAACCCCCATGCTGCTCTAATTTGCCAACTCCGCTATGTAAATAGTAGTGCATCGGGTGCTTTTAAAGGGAGCAGGAGTTGATGTTCTGATTGGTTAAATTCATGTTACACCTAAAACACATCCTATGATTAATTAAGAGACTAAGTACAACCCTTTTGCCCCTTGTGCCTTACTTTGCATCCAGTTGAGCACTGTTTTCCAAGCAAAGTGGAGTGCGACAAACATTAATGCACTTGAGCCAAGAACTTTAAACCATGTGCTATAAATCATTCAAATAGAGTCCCAGGTGTCACTTCAATTAGCTATACCTTAGAAATGTGATACAGTTGTCTTCATAGTAAGCAAAGTCATCTGTTCAAACTAAACAAAAAAAAAACTTTTATAGATTTATAAATACATTAATAGTGTAAATAATTCTAAATAAAATCTCGGCTCTTGGCATTTGACTGTCACAGTATGTCACAGCTGTGCTCTGTCACAAAGGTGATGGTACTATGAGTTGTGCTTCACCCTGTGTGGCATCATTTGTTTCCTTGTCTTTACTGAAAATGTGAAATTTCATGAAATAACTGGGTGGTGTGTGTGAAATACAACGCTTCCAATAAACATTAATGTCTGTATTGCAATGCCAATAAATTAAACTTAATGTGGTAATGATGTTAAAACTGATTGGGGCACCTTTAAACAAACAAGGACTGGCATTGAAATGCAATTTTAAGATTTTTTAGGTATCGTTACATCTTGCATGCAAAAAGTAAAGAAAGCAAAACGAGGAACACAAAGAGCTGTTGAGTGAAAGTGTGACAGTGATGAGAGAAAACAGGAAAACAGACGTGACTCAGAAAGATCGACTGGCAGCTGAAGAGTTATCAGCAAGGAGGAAAACTAGACAGAGAAAGAAAAGACTCCTGTGACGCTCTGTCTAGAATGACTCTGCAGTTATTGTGTGTGTGTGTGTGTGTGTGTGTGTGTTTTGTTTCAGCTGGATGTAAATTCAGCAGTTCATGGATGCCTTACCTTTATAAAGCCAAAACAGATTGAGCTATAAAGAAACACCTGCTCTCACAAACACACTTACACACTGGATGCAGCGTGCGTAAACTCACAGTTAAAGCAGACTTGTTAATTATTCATAATATCCACCGTTTCACTGATACTCGTCCAGTGCCAGAAATATGTGTCCTTATTCCCCTTAAATACATTGGTAGAAAACAGGTCTCAGGCGTGTCTCAGAAGGAGGAAGTAATATTATAATTCACTCAGAGTTTTGTAGGCTTCACTGCCTATCTTCCCCCCTGGTATTTCAGGACCATGGACAGATATATACCTTATAATATCAGCTATGTAGCAGCAACAGGCTAATGCATGGGAAACTATGATCACAGTGTACTTGAGCCGAGTGTCCTTCATTAGAACAAATTGTATAGATAAAGATATTCATTTGTAAGTATTCCAACAGGAAGTTGGAGCTGGCGTAAAGGGGAGGTTATGCTTGCATATAATTAGTTGCATTTACTCAAAGTGCAATTTGAGGCAGTTGTACTTTGGTTAATTCCATTTAATGTTAATTTATACTTCTGTTCCACTACGCCTCAGAGGGACATATGTATTCACTCCATTACATTTATCTGGCAGCTATGATAATTATAGTCTCTACGAACAGATAACTTCACATGTATACAGAGCTCGAGGTGACTTGATGAGAATTTGGTATTGGAAGAGTTCTGGTTTCTGTTTGTAGCCTGAGCAGTATTGACCAATCACGTTCGAGTGGCATGTTAACAGTCTGTGTGGAGAGGTGATGTCTGATGATAAAGTAGCTTAAGCTTTTCTTTGAATTTATCTGCATCATGTGCAGATATCTGCTGACTACACTGGATCAGCCCGAAATGTCGGTCCTTGTCCCTAGAGGCTTCTTCGTCAGACCGATAGCTGGTGGGTTCCAAGATGGTGAATATTATTATCAATATTTACATACAAAGCATGTAATGGGGCTGTAAAATATGAAGCACTGTTACAGAATACATCTCTAAATTGTTTATAATGCAATATGATTTCCCTCAAATTCAACAGTAAAATGCTCAAACATCAAATGCTTGTAATGGCACTTACCAAACATAAGCATAGTAATTACAGACCACTGTACTGTGGTCAGAGCAACATGGCTGTGTGCTCTGTCCTCAGCACGCTACTGTAGCACAAAAACATTCTCATCATCAGCTGTCTCAGGCACGTCTTCATTTTCAGAGTTGCTTTCGTCAGAACTCCCTAAGATCTAAGAAAGTGCTGCTCTGCAGTGAACCTGACACACCAGTGCTGCCTTACACACTGCGGCTCTATAAAGACCCAATAAATGTTTTAGAGCAGGGGTGTTTTAGTTCATGAGCCACATATAGCCCAATTTGATAGCAAGTGGGCTAGACCAGCGAAACCATTGCATAATAAGCTATACATAACAACACCTTCAAACCTTTCCTCGCTTTTAGTTTTGAGATGCTCAAGCCCATACTGCAAACATTAATCCATTTACAAAACAGATGATGAACAGACTGAGATGTCTTAAGAAAAATAAATGTAATTTCAACAATATGTTTCAGTTTTTTTCAGTCAGTCCACTGCTCAACATCATTACATGTGCATTTTTCAAAGCATGTCCACCCCTGTGTATTAATGCTGTCATCACCACATCAAACTAAAATGGAAGCTGTTGAGGAAGCAGGTTAAGTTATCCCCTGCCTCACAGACCATTTACAAATCTCAGTGTCTTAGCAATAGGTTTCCAGCACTATTGATTTAAGATAGAAGTCTGTTATGGATTCTTTTGTACTGAAACTGCTAACTGACAATATTTTGCACAATGGTCATTGTTGTTGAATATGACCACAGTAAGTATTCATTGTTTATTCACTGAACTGTACTGTGGCCTTTGAAGCAGCATTTTACATTAAATAGGCAACTCACTGTTTAACTTGCCTGTGAAACCTGGCACCCCAGATCACACAGAACACATTTAAGCAGCTGGAGGTGGCTTTTTGTAATTGTTTTGAATGAGAATTAGGCGTTTTGCTTGTTGTTTTTGCATTGTTATGTGCCTCATATTTCTGTGCTTGAGGCACCTGGCTTTTTTACCAGAGCGCTCTGAACCCCTCGAGTTGAGCAAAACTTCAACTCGGAGAGGAAAAGCACCACATGTCATCTCCGCTTTTTTCTCATTGTCCAATTGGATGGTTTGAGAAGTTGGCCGTCTGTGGTGGTTACGACAACAAGTTTGTAGTTGGTAAACAGTGGATGAGAAACTAGTGGTAGTGGTCACTGGATACCCAGAGCTATATGACTTAACAAACAGCAGTTACCATGATCTCAGTAGAAAACAACAGGCATTGAAGCATTTAAGTGCAGTGCTTGAAATGGCCATCATCATGGTGGAGCTCCTGGACCAACTGGTGGTATTCCCTGTGATCCACCCTCTTTTTTAGGGCCTCATGTGCCCACACAGATCTAAATTTCACTGTGCCCAACAAACTATTTGCTGACAGCCTCTCAGAGCTACAGCAAGTACCCTCTGTCTGTCATTTCAGAGAGAGGATGAGAGGGGAGTTTAAGGCTTAATAAAAAAATGAATTAAACGGAATGAAATATATGGTAGTGCACCTCACACAATTAAACTGCCACTAGAGTGATCTCATGAAATCCATAACAAAAGCTTTTTTTTTCATTGAAAGCTTATTTGTGAAGCTCCTGCTGTTTAGTTTCTCTTGACAGGTGTTCACTGAATTCTGAGGTCTTGTTTTAGTTTACATAGATATGGATATTGAGTGGATACCAGTAAAGCAGTGTAAGTAGGGCTTAGCTCAATTTGATCGAGTGATGGCCCCTGATGTAGTAAATAGTTGTATTATTTAGCTGGTAATATATTTTATTGGTATGATAATAGTTTATGATCATAGTACGTTTTATATATATATGTGCAGCTTAATGGGATTCAATGGAGCCAGCAGTGCAAATCTTTACTTTAGTCAATGGGTGATATCATCCTTTTGATTTCTTTTATTATACAGCAGCACTTAAGAAACTCCCCTCCTCCTCCTTCCTCTCCTACTTTTAACAGGAATATCAAACATGTACTTTGTAAATGTATTTATCAATAATGTGTGAGCTGTGTGAGTGTGTTATGTGTGTCTTGGTATGCGTGCCTCAGCGGTTGGCACATATGCATCGATCCTTTAAGACACATCCACAGACAGCAAGCGTTGCCCAGGGAGCCACAGATGCTGTCATCCTCTCCTTGCGTAACCATGGTGATAGTCCCTTCAGCGACGTGTTGTGTCTGCTTGCCTCACCGTCAAAAGATGTACACAACACACACACTAACAGGCTGCAGAGGCTGGTTTTTTGGACATGGCACCTGTTTGATGGTTAAACAGCTGACAGAGCAGAGTGACAGATTCAGGTGCAGTTTTCAGTTTGACTATGTGGAGAATTTTAAAAGAAAGGCTGCAGGACGCAGTCTGTGTATGTCAGAAATATGTAGGTCACTCATCCGAAGTCTGGGTTTCACTCTTTTGTTTTTTCATAGCTGGAAATATGTGTCGTATGTAATTCAAGCTATGAAAATCTTGACAGAATAACTAACCTGATGTTTCTGTTTGCTGATTGGCAATGAGGCTGATAATGTTTTTTATCTCCTTTAGGTCCAGGAATGATGTCATCAATGATGTCATCAGGGGGACGCCAAGACCCACCAGGACAACCTGCCTTCAGCTCTGACTACCTGTCTGGTGAGGGTAGAGGATGTGCTGGTCATTTATCACACAGTTTTCCCACTTAAGTACAAAAGAAGTTTACATAATAGTTTGAGTATAGTTTTGTTGTTGCAGGGGCCCATGGGAGCTGTAGTCCCCCCCGTAGGTCACTCCAAAGATAACACTGTAATCACACCCCTGTGAGGCCAGAAAAGCGGTCACCTTTTAGATTTGTTTACTGAAAACTGTAGTGCCCACAACATTCTTTATGTGAATACCAAAATGAGCAATGTTTTCTTACATAATCCTCAACACAAACATATTAAACATTAAATGTCGTGCCATTTTTAGAGAATTATTGAAAAGAATCAGTTATTGTTTCCATCTACTATTGTTACATCAATATATACACAACAAAATGACAAACAAAAGAGTAAACCTGTTAAGTGGTAGTAGTGTGTGGAGGCTGTGTCTTTAGTGTTAGACATTAAAGAAGGGGAAGGATGCATGTCACCATCAAATTTATTCAAAGATTCTTCTTTTCTTTTTGTTGTGATGCCATAATTTGCTCATACGTCTTGTTTTTCATGCTCGTCATAGTAGAAAAATCAGAAACGTTACAAATAATATTTAAGTCCGGGTAAAACAAAAATAAACGTGTAATGATTTCATCACATCACAGAAAAATGTGATAATAACCACCTAGCCACATTTGAATGATTTAAACAATTGCCAAGCATAAAACATAAGCTTTCAAAACTGTCAAAAAATGAGCAGTATTCTCTGCTCTCAGACACTAGGGATGTGTTTGCTAAGGGAGCTGAGAGTAGGAACAAGCCACTGCAAAGGGATAGACTCTTGCTAGCAGCTAACTCAATAGCACAAAGCACGCACACCCCCTGAGCCGAAGTACGAGCTGCTGTGCAGCAACAGACTCTTTAGCAGCTAAAGCAGGAGCAGTAGTACACACAGTCTATGGTAGCACAACACACACGGTCTGAACAGAAGAATGAGAGAGCTTGGCAGCAGCTGCTCATTCAGCAGCTAACAACAACTAATGTTAGCACAGAGCACAGACCCACAGCAGCAACACTGATGCTTATCGCTCCAATGCTAGTAGTAACATAGTTTTTATACAGTAGGAGAGGAGTTATGTTCAGGATGGTTCCAATGCGTCATCGAGCCATGATTTCAGGCCCGCCCCAAAACTCCTGGACACAGAAATGTTGAAAAACTGTTTATAATTTTTACTCCACAATACAGTATAACACAGTTCCCATTTTGTCACGTATTCAACATGTATTTTTTTTTAACATGTATAATGTGTTAAGAAAGAAATCACTGATTTTGCTGTTCCTGGACTTTAAATATGGCTGTGTTCCATTCAAGTGTCCAGTAAGCTATGGCAGTATACCAGGACCCTGAAACTAAAGCAGCCAAATGGAATTCAGCCATTGTTCATTTCATTATTAACACCTTTGGTTTTCCTACTGTGTGCCATGTCAAAATGTCCAAAGTCAAACATTAAGCATTTATTTTTATGTTCTGTCCCACTGGCTCATTTCATTCTGCTCCTCATCTCTCCTGATTATGCACCTCTTTTTTTGTCACTCCTCCCACACATTTTGACTCTGTATCTGGCTGTCTGCCTCCACTGTCCTCTGTCACTCTCCTCTTTTTCCTCCTCTGGTCATTCTTCCATCTCTCTCTCTTTCTCTCTCTCTCTCTCTCTCTCTCTCTCTCTCGCTCTCCTTTTTCAGGTCCTATGATGGGTGGGAAGACAGATCAATGGAGCGTGAACAAGACAAAGGACAACAGCATGCCTGACTCATTTCTAGGTCCACTTTACTTTTTCACCTCCTGTGCCATTTTGACCTCTGACTACAGAGGATAGGATATCATATTCTCTCTCCTCTCTGTTTATATCTGACCATTCTGAAAGAGCAAAATTACAAACTCATTTGGTTGAAATTAGTGGTTAAAGTCTGTGAATAATTTAAAAAATAAGAGGTTATATATGGTGTGGTGATGGTTTCAATTTGGCTCTGGCTTTATGGAATATTTTGCAAGCTACTACTATGTAGTTAATCGGCACTGTTGTTGGATGTTTACGCTCCACTAGTTTTGCCAGTCCTTTATTTGTCTTTCAGTTATTCCAAAACTCCTGTTTATACCACACATGCTCAGCTTTTTGTTTCTGTTGTCTGCTTGTAGGGCCTGAACAAAAACTGTTTTCTCACTATCAATATATATCACAATATGACACATGTTGATAAATCAAAATGTTTCACGCATATAACATCTAATTTTTTTATTACAGTTTTCTATGAATCATTAATATGGACAACAAGATTTGCTAAATGACAATACAAAGTGATATATGATCATATTAAACTATTACTCAGTCCTCTGTTACTTTCACTCCCTCACGCAGCTTCAGCCATGTTTTAAACTTTCCACACACACAAATAACTTATTTTATTTATTATTCTTTATTTCAGTTTTAAGCTATGCACCACATTTATAAGACAATTTTAAGTTTTTAAAGACAGGTATAGAGTGACGTCATAAGTCAGATCTGAGTTTATGAAGTGATCAACATGAAAAGTTGTGTGCGTGCCTCAAAGGGACAGTTCACCCCAAAATGAAATATACATATTTTCCATCTTACCTGTAGTGCTATTTATCAATCTCGATACTTTTGGTGTGAGTTAGAGATGTCTGCCTTCTTTTCAAAATAATGGAACTACAGTAGCTGGCACTCAGTTGTGGTGCTCAGAGTGCCATAACAATACATTTGAAAAGCTTAACAGCAATGTTTCTCTCCTGAAGTCATGACCCAAGGCCTGTACTATGAAGCAGGATTTTTTGTTAGCAAAAAGAGAACCAGCTTTGTTGAACCAGCTTTGTTGCTGGGTTTTCAGCACTACAAAGCTGGTTCTCTTTTTACCAGGATGAATCACTGTGGTAACTTATGCTGAGCAGCTAACCTGCTCCGGAGCAGGTTAAGTTCAGAGTATCAGATCACAGCCTGTCAACACCCTGGCCTCTGACCAATCAGAAAAGAAAAGAAATAAGCATCCCAACTTAAACAAAAGTTTGGAGTGACAGGTAATAAAGAGTAGTTTATAGGTAGTTATAGGTCAGTAGAATCATGTCATTGTTTCAGGGCTCTATTTCCTGTGGTTTTAAAACACAGCTTATAACAAACGGAAAGATTGTTGACACACTAAACACATGATTTTAGTAATATTTTAACTTATGCAAAAATTATTGTAGTCTGCAGTGATAGTGTTGCTATTTTTACACTCTGATTCCATCACTGCAGCTCAAAATAACATGAGACACCTGTGTGATGAGAACTATGGAAAAAAAAGACAATGTTTTATTAGAAGAATAATCCACACACTGTTATCCGGCTCAGACAGACCTCATCAGTCATTAACGAGGCTACTTTTCCACCCTTTACTTCGGTAGCAGAAATAGTCTGATAAACAGCAAAAAATACTCTGTACTAATGGCGCATATAGCCTAGTGATACCTACACATAACTTATGTCTCAGCCGATGGTGAATTTTTGGATAGTATTTTCAATATTTCTGTATTTTTCCTTCCAAGATTACAGAGTAACATTTACATCCCTCACCATTGATATTTTACTGTCTCGCAGTCGGACACACTTTCAGTGCTGTTTCATCTCACATGATATGAAGCAGCCTTCTTCATTCATGGTTCTGAAGATGTCGCTTGTTGATTATACCCCCGCCTCTATCACATGAACACCCTTGTGGCTGGGTAGGAAACCCCAGAGTTGACTGAACTGGTTGATAACCAGCTTTGTAGTACCTGTTATCCAGATGGCCAATGTTAGGGTTACTCAAACCAGATAACGAAAATGTATTGATACAATCCACAGACCTTGTTGTGAGCACTATCATGTTAGAACTAGCATGCATCCACTGCTACCTTACCTAGCGCCACTGAGCTAGCTCATATTACAGCTCAGCTTTTTTTTTTAAAATTTCTATGTGTGATGTTATTCAGAGTTAACAGGCTTTTGTTTTGGCAATGCAAGTATAAGTACTGCATACACATTTACCTTTTATAGTATTATGGCTTGTTTCCCAAGTACATTGATTTTGAAATACTAAAGATATCCATAATTCAGCTATCATGACATTGTGGTAGCATGTTTTCTACTGTAAGGAACCGTATAACCCTGGTTACAACAAATACCTAAAGCCACTAAATGTAGAGCTTGTATGTAATTATATTATGTTTCAAATTATTCTGATAGCATTTGCTATAGTTGGTAGAAAATTTTGACACACAGTGAAAACTGGTGCAATTGGCTGACAGTTTTTGATACAACAACTGGAGGAACCAATCAGACATTTTCAAATTTTACATGTATTAGCTTAAACATTAATAGGTAATGCTGGAATTTGTCACTGACAATTAGTTATTATTATTGTTGAAACTAGTATGGTATACAAGATGTGAGGGGTTTTCCCAACATTGCAAGTTTTGATTTATTTATTTTTTTTAAATAAAAGACTATGCATGTAACAAGCAGAAACAGTACATGTCCTTTCAGTAGGAAAGTGTATTTTGAAAAGTTACAATGCATTTAACAAGCGTAAATTGACACGGCATTCCAGAACGTTAACAACAGAAGCACCCAGGATACCTAATGCGCCATATGTAGTCCATTGTCCAAGCAGCAATACATGACCAGTTGGAAGTGAGACCATGTTGCAATCTTTCTAGAGCGAGTTGTCTGTTGGTGATATATCTCTGTGTTCTGTCTCTCCATCAGGCTTCTCTCAGTCTGGGATGGGAGGAACTACTGGGTCCAGCCTGCCACCATTCCAGACCAGCATGAGCTCCACTGTGGGCCAGACTGGGATGGGTTCAGCTATGGACACCCAGAAGAATTTGGGCATGTTTGGTGTGGAAAACAAAACCACCAGCAACACCAGTGGAAGCAGTCCATTTAAAACCAGTGAGGTGATTTCTTCTGGTGGCCCTGAAATCCACTCTATGGATCACTCTGCAGGTATCAGAGAGGGGTGTTTGCATGTGTTACTGTGTGCTGGTGGCAGCATGGGACGGTGGAGTCAGGAGAATGAGGAAAGAGGAGGGAGTCACTGTATATGTTTGGTTTGGGGTTCATAAACTTTTCTAGGCAACATTTCAGCTTTATACTGAAACTCATAATACTAAAATAGTGAGCAGGTGCTTTCATGTATATTTTTAGGGATGCTGGTTGGATTGAGCACAGTTTAAAAAAAGGTTGGCTGAAAAAGAAAAATCTAAATCCTGGTCATATCTTGAATTTGATTTAATAAAATCCTAAATATTAAGCTAATTATTATAGAACAATGGCATGGGTTCCTGTAGCAGCACAGCAGGAGGGTGGGGACAGAAGAGTAACAGCCTGATCACATGTTTTCAGCAGCAGAGGGCAGCCTTTTCTAATTGTTTTCACTGTAGATGGAACAATTCCAGCTCTGCTCGGACATCCCTGGTTGCCTCATGGCTTTATGCTCTGTGCACTTTGCTATTGTCTTTATGTACTGACAAACTGGATCAACAGACAGATGGGACCCTTTTTAATGATAATCACGGGAATATCTGTAGTTTTATGTCTTCTGTAGTTACTACAGTCTGAGAAGAAAAAACAACCAATAGACAATTTAGTGCTCCTTATAAAATTTTTAGTTGCCTCTTATCATGAATTGTTAATGTTAATAATAATCAATAGCTGCTTGAGTGACTAACCGCAGAATATTAACTGAATTCTTTTGTTGCTGCGGAACAACAAAAAACATAAACCCAAAGGAGGATTAAACAGTCTTCCTGTGTTACTGTGCCCAAAAGCAACCTTTCAGATTCTGTAATGGAGACATGTATGTGGTGCTGCAAATAGTCATTTCATTATCTGAACATAATTTTACACTCACACAGGTCGTTAGTCCTCCCAACATAAAAGCTTCTGATGGGAGAAAGGGGCAGAAATAAAGATTTTAACCACAGGACCCTCAACTGAACTTTGAAAGTGACTCAGCATCTCAGTTTCATAAAACATTCAGCAAGCTCTTATTCAGGGTTTAGCTCTGCCCTCCTCTGTTTTGTTGTCGTACTAAAGATAGCCCTGCTAGCTTAAAACCAACTAGCTGTACAGGCTGGCTGTTATGTAACAGTTACTATCCTAGTTTATTACAGGAAATTTCAACACGTCTTCTAGAAACCAGGGATGAATTGAGGACAGATGGCTGCTGTAATGGCTGCCACAAATTTCAAAGAGCCTTTAGAATGAAAATTGGAGTTGTATTTGTTTGACCACAAAGATAACCCATTCAATTTTCAGGGAAGAGAGTGTAGTGATGTAACCACATGCTGCTATTTTAAAGTACTGTGCTTAGCTAACTGCTCCATCACACAAAATACCTGCAGACATTCTGGAAATGTGCCAACCCTCTTACATAATTTGGATGACAACAATGAAGAGTAAAATGTAAGCTTTAGATAAGCAACCCAATCTTTGATGTTACTATTCCAGATCTTTTGGTTTTTTTTGTCAGATGTTATGTAAAGTATGCAATCTTTAACCTGTTACCACAGGAATTGGTCCATATTAGTGCAATGCAGAGCATATAAATAGATCTTGAAATTTGGTTTTGTGCCTTAAATGGCACAAAACACACAAGTAATGAGGAAGAAATGCTCTTCATCTCAAGAAGGATACTACTTAGCTAGCTCAGAGTGCAGAATTAGCTGTTAGCTGCTAGCTCCAGCTATCTGTCAGAGCAGGGTCAATCCTATGTTGCCAGGGTCCTATGTTCCACAGATTTATACGGGACATACTGGGAACATGACAAAAGGTTCTACGTCCCAGGGTCCTATGTTCTCCAGCTCTGTATAGCACCTAATAGGAACACGAAAACATTTTCCCCTAGTTCTGTATTCATTTAATATGACATGGGCTAGGGTTAGGTCTGGGGACTATAATAATCATAACTCTGAGAGTCATGAAATAGCACTGGACTCATCCTTGATAATACATACTCATATCATACATACCAGGTTGCATCAATAGTCACTTTTTCTCCCAACATATTTAATTCCCAAATTTAAAACAATACAAGTCAGCCAATTAATTAACCAAAAAAAAGAGAGGGAGAAAAACAAAGATGAAAAAGGAGAAAAATAATATCAAACATTTCAGGGTTAGGCAATAGATAGCAGTTGACGTACGTAGTACGTTCCTACGTAGTACGTTCCTGTTGGCAGGCAGAAAGAACCATTCAGAGTCATGGCAAGTCATGTCTTTCTGCTTCTTTCTGTCTCACATCACTGGGTATCTAATGAAGCAAAAAAAAGAAAACCTTTAGCTCAGTCTGTGCTCTATTTGTCTAAGACTTATATAATAGGGGAGAAATAAATCTTGTGCAGGATACTGACCATACATTCACCAACCAGCCTTCTACTCTGTCTGTGTCGCCTCTTCTCAAACTGTGCTTCTGTGCTTGAAACGTGAAGTCCTTTACAAACCTGCTCCTCTGTCTGTGCAGGTGCCAGTGGGATTCAGTGAGATGAAACCCCCCTAACTCCCACACACAGCGCTTTTGCATAGGCAGTGTGTTTGAGGCAGCCAGTGCTCCAACATTAATGTTTCCCTTGGCAGTTTGCCAGACGCTAGATTAAGACGTACTCCCATTAAATTCCTTATCACATTAAATATAGATGATAATGCCCCGGCCTCACCTCGTCCTCGAGCTGTTTATAGCTGGGCAAGCATTGGAGGCCAGCTGGAGAAAATAGCAACTTCAATTCAATCAATCAATTTAGAAATAAAGGGAAAGGTGCCAGATTTAGAGGGGAACACACCTTTGTCTGGATTCACATTAACATCCTGTGATGTAAGACAGATTGCGGAGATGGGAGGATGAAAACTGAGATAGAGGAATAATAATTTAGACAGGAAGAGGACGTGATGAGCAGACTAAGAGGGGTGTATAGGTCAGAGAGTTTTATTTATATGGTCTATCCCTCTATCTGTCTGTTTCTATCTGTCTGTTCATCTTTCTCTCTCTCATTTTCCCTGAGCTGATGAAGTGCTTGTCAGAAATAATTGAGAAATATTTCTTCAGAGGAAAAAACATACCCAACTGTGATGACTTCCTTTCCAAACAAGAGAAGATAGTGGGAACAGACAAATGAAGGGATCATTTTAGTGCAAGCTGCATTTCTTCTGTTGTTTCTTAAAGCTTGCATGTGCATAGTTTGTCATGGTGTTGTGATTGTGTAACACATTCCATATTTTAATGGTGCATTTGGGATCATTTTAGTGTTTCTGCATGTAAGACGATGATCCATTTATCACCAGGAGTCTTCAGACATGCATGCAATTATTTTCATGTATGCTAACGCGTATTCGAAATGTGCCTGACTCATTTACCTTGGTAAAGTGGAAATAGACAAGTTTTCTTTTGCTTTGAGTTATCATAATGAAGTAAATGTTGATTGCACAATGTGATGGCAATAGAATAATGACACCATGTGCAACTAGATTGGTTCCCTCTTAAAAGTCTGAACCCAACCGGAACCCGACCCGAACCCAATGTAGTTAATGTAACTTTACTGAAGCACTGACTTTGTCCCTGTCACGCTATTGTTGTTACCATGGTTTCAGCTTGCTTGTATACCCTGATTACATATGTAGCACTTTGTAAATGACCGTCAAAAGGCATTGTTTTATATTGGCTTATATAGGTAGATTTTTTTAACACACACATCACACCCACATTGGATACGCAATGTCATCTGCATTTCTTAATAACAGAAATTAGTCTTACTATTGGCATATGTCAAGTCACCATCCCCACAAACTCTGAATTATTTACATAATCCATCCATTGTGGTTCATTAGGAGTTATTGCAGAGGAAGGTAATAGCATCCACCGAGGATGGCTTCAGCGCTGTCCTCTTCTGTTTGATTGGTCTCTCACCAACGCTTAAGTTCTGTTTGCTACTGCTGTTAGCTGGAAAGGCCAGAATGCCCTTAGCAAGTATACCGATCTTTGTGGTAAGGTTAAGCAGTGACATAGTTTATTAACGTCCGTCAGACAGTAGTTCGGGCCATAGGCTGAACCAGACCCAAACCTAAACATCATTTGTAAATATTTAATTGAACCCAGCCTGACAGGTCAGGTCCCAGGAGCTCTGGTCGGCTATCCACACTCTTTTCCCTATAAGCCTCACTTTCACTATGCAATTCTGACTGCCACCAGGTACGATCTCTTGGCAAAATGAAGGCTTAATTTACGACACAAAGCAAGTGCATCAGCCATTGTGCAACCAAAACAGAAAGAAGACAGCACTTTTGTTTGCCCCAATAGCTATCAATATCTATCCACAGTTACCAAAAAGTATCAGTGTCTTTTTTTACAGTTACTATCCCCTGAAACAACTGTAGTAATGCTTACCTTTATGCCAGTGATGCCAACAGCAATACCACTTGGAAACACGAGGGGGGAAAAGGTTGAAAAGTTGTCTTTTTCCACTTTAACTTGCTTCAGAGTTCTGCTGCTCCCAGTGTTGTTTGTTTTGCTGTTTTGTGTGCCTGCTTCCTACACAAGACCAGCTCTGCCCCTGGGGACATGATGATGATGATGATGATGATGATGATGTTAAAAAGAGGTGAATCAAACTTATTTATCAAAAAAAAAGAGAATCACACAATTAATTAATTGTTTCACTGAAAAGTGCTATCTTAAAACACACTCCACTCCAGACTCCATTCATTTACAATGTGCAATATGATGCCAGTGGATCTTTCACTATATTTATTTCCTCCTATTATATGGTATTGATTGGTATTAATGTAGAATGATTGAATGATATCCAAAAGTGAGGATCTTAAACCTGTGTGAGGCCTCTTCTAAAGATGTAAAATGTAGATACAGTGTGTGAGCTTTGGTCCTAGAAAGTTCAAACAATTTGGCAAATCTGAATGAAAACACTGTTTCAAGTGAGATGTACATTTACAGTTAATTCAAAGCAGTTTCACGCTGACAGAGATGAAACACTACCAAGCAGATAAAGCAAATTCTTCTCACCTGCTGCTTAGTGCTGAACCAATATTTTGCTGTTAAAAAGCACCTGCAAGTATCTTTCTTTATGTCAACTGATCATGCACATTCAATCAAGGTAGCCTTTACTGAAACATAGAAAGTCTTTAACAGGTGAGTAAATTACAGTTTGAATGTATTTATAAAAGTAGGCACCATCACATACATCATATTTTATGAAAGTGTTTTAAAGGTTTTGCCAAAAGGAGCCTAAAAGCAGTTAGACTGTGGTTACTATGGCTGTTAACATCCAGGGAAGACACTTTACACCTTGCATATATTCTGCACAAGCAGAACATCACACTTGCCCCATCTGTTGTAATTTCTAAGCCACGGCTTTAGGTAGTCAGGTAATTGGCATGCATCGTCAGCCTTTTCTAATTACCAGAGCGTCAAATACCGACGCTTTGTCACACCCCTCTGCTTGTGATAACAACACCAAAGGCACCCTTTAACATCTTTGACACACACTGGGCTTTCAACTAACTCTAGTGTGAGGTTATGCACAGCAATACCTGATGCTGAGAGCAACTGACATAGTATAAAGTGCAAGAAAGTCCATACAGGGCGGGAGGGGAGGTGGATGGGTCAAACAAAACTTTCACGCAGGAGACTGCAATTTTTGGCCCATGAGAAACCAAAAGTCAGTCTTGTTTTAACGGATAATTATACCACTTGTGTACCTATGTCCCATGTAAAAGCAGAAGTCAGTGTTGTTTCAATGTAACGTTATGTACTTTGGGTATGGTTGTTGCACACTGATGTTACTCACATGACGTATTTATGTATCTTCACATTATGTAAAAAAAACTTTTAAGCCAGAACATAATCTTTTTTCTAAACTCAACCCAGTAGTTTTGTTGCTTGAACCTAAATTTGATTTTTTCATAACATTAACCATGTTTTACAGCTGTGCATCACATAGATTAATGAAAGGATGCCCTGTGCTTCACTATGAAATGCGGGGGGGAAGAATCAGTATTTAATGACCTGGGAATGAAAATGGGTAGACATTATGTATGTATTAAGAGCTTACACAGAACTTGCCTTTCTGCCTTTCTGTGATTGTACTGATGACTAATGAATGAAAATTTTCCCAGTTACACAGAGTCAGACAAACTCATAGAAGACTATCTCTGTAAGCAAAACAAAGGTACCATGTGTGGGAGTTTGACGTACCTTTGATTAATTAATGGTCATCTATTGGATCAAAGAAGCTTCCTTAAAATAGTACTCCTCAGCTTTAGCAGTATACTCCTGCAACACTGACTGACATATGATGGTCAGGTTTTAAAAAAAAAAAAAAAAAAGACAGAAATCATTGCAAAGCCAGAGATATTTTCTTTTTTATTTCACACATTCGTTGTCCTTGTCAAAACCTGGCATTTCCATTACCAATAATGCAAGTTGAGATTTGGGTCTGTGACGCTACTCACGGCTAACGTTGCCTCAAGTTGCTAGCTTCCTGCAGAGATGAGAAGCGTGCTACAGAGGTCTGGTAAAATTACTACAGTCTCCACACCTACAATTTTTTCTCATTTTCAAATTTGAGGTGTTCAGACCAAACCGATGCTGACTTAAGTGACGTCCCTTGAGGACTTTTATCATATTTCACGCAGCTCTCTCTGGAGCCACAATAGGCTTCATATGACTTTGATGTGGACATTCTGTGAAAAAATAAGGAAATCTCAAATTTCCAACTACCTCATGTTTATATGTCAAAAAATCCAAGAGACTGCATTAAACACACCCTCACTCTTTACAAATACTGACACGTTCACTAGGAGTAGTCTGGTTCCAAGTCCCCCACTGTTGTCCTAACTATAACCTATTTGACATGCCTACAAACTACATGCAAGAACATAAAAAATGGTATCCATGAGTTTGTCTGACACTATGTAAGAGGGATCAGCTAATTCTGCATTAGTCTATCCCTATGAAAAACAAAAATCCATCTTCAGTTATTGATAATTCTACAAGCTCCCCTCCTATGAAATACCACTTCAACTCGTATGGACCTCACATCTTTGACAAGACCAGCCATTTCACCCATTTTCTGCCATGAAACAGTGAACAGGTTAGAGAAGAAGTAGTGAAAACCACCTATGGTAACCACAATCTGATGGTTTTTGGCAGGTGATTCTCTGACACAGTATGTGATTGGTTCCTCCTCTTATAAAAACCCTCCCCCCCTCGGCAGCTCCCGTCCTCTCTCCCAGCGGCTCAATGGACGACAGCTCTCCCACGTCCTCCGCCTCCGAACCCCTCAGCCCTGAAAGAGTGGGGCCGGGGGGCGAGGCTGGCAAGCAACAGCAGAGACGGCGGAAGAAGAAGAGGAAGGGCCACGACCAGGTCTACGACTTCTTGGATAGCCAGCAGAATAACATCGGCCAATCAGACAAGCAAGGGATGCAGGATAAGGGCGGTCTGGATGCGGAGGAGGACGAAGATGAGGAGGAGAACTGGGAGTGGGAGATCAGAGAGAGTGGAGGAGGGGGTAGAGTGAAAGGCAGGAAGACTAAGAGTCGGGCAAGACTTCCAGAGGAGTGGGGAGTGCCCCAGCAGCCCATCTCTCCCACACAGGTCACAACTGTTAACTCTGGTCCCTCTGACTCCAAAGCACCAGACTCCAACCCCAGCCCTGTCTTACCCTCTGCCCCTGCACAAATTCCCACAAGTTTCATCAATAGTTCCCATGCTAGCCTTGTAACAGATTCATCTCCACGCTCTTACGAGCCGATGTGTGTAGATGATTTCCCTTTATCTGCTAAAGATGGTCAAAAAGCAAATGAAGAGAAAGTTTCTACCAGCAAACCTGAATCTAACATAAGTGCAACGGCTGGTGTTGCCAACAAGAGTAGTTTAGCTGGGGATGTTGATGGTAGTCTAGCACTGATGACAGGGGACAATCTGAGCCCAGTCTCCCAGACCTTCTCCTTCCTGGATTCAGTCCTTCAGACCCCTCCCGGCTCCACTCCCGACTCACAGACCACCACCCCTATCACCAACACTCCCTCTCTTGCTATGGCTCCCCTGACTAGATCTACCCCGACAGAAACTGTCACCCCTGTTTCACAACCCACTTCTGTTTTGAACCCCTCCCAGAGCACTCCAGACCTTCCTCCTACTTCCACTTTGTCCACCATCGCATCACCCTTAGCTGCCACATACACACGCCCACCAACTACTGCAGTTGGTTCAGCCCTCAACGCCGATGCCAAGCCTTTCGTCCCCTCAGCCACGCTCATATCCTCCACAGCCACACCCAGTACGACTGCAGCCGCTCCTGGAACAGCAGCGTCCACCACCACCTTAGCCAAAACCCTTAGTTCCTCAGCTTCTCCCTGTAAGAGTGAAGCCACTCCCACATCATCATCAGACACCCCCCTGAAAAGTATAGCCACGCCCCTTAGCCCAGCAACAGCCACCCCCCCTCCATCCATCACCCCCGCAGCCCCTCCTTCTCTCCCTGCACACTCAGAGCACCAGGAGTCCTCGTCGCCACAGCTCCCCCCACTGGAAGGTTGGTGAACTACAGGGAAGATTATGAATAACACTGGGCAAATTTGAACAAAGTGATTGTAGGCTAGGATAGCAGGAAGTAGTTACTGTATGTCTTCCTGTATGCATGGCTCTTTGTCTGTGGATTGAGTACCAGGCCTGCTTGGTGCTTGATCCTTTCTTTTATGTATTTGTAATAACCAGGGCCCGACACGTAAATGTAGAGCAGCTCAAGTTTTAATCTGTTTCATATCTACAATACATCTACACACAAATCTGCTCTTTATCACTTTTAAAAATCTCTAAGAAATATGTTTTTATCTAAAAAATGTACCAGAGAAACATTTGTGTCCAGATAAATTACCCCTCTCAACTGTTAGCATGAGTATGGGACACAAATGTGCTGTGCTGGTCGGGCCCTATATTAACAAAACTGCAACAGTAATCTGCAAAGTTGTCTGATTTGATTCCCCTCTGCCTGCCTCTGTGTATCTGTTATCATGATCGTAACAATTTTATCACTTGACCTGCTGCTTCTGATAGCTCTACTATCCTTGCTTGCTCAACTGTCTCCTGTTTTGTCTGATTGTCAGCTGCCTGTGTAATCTCCCACTATCTCCTCTCTGTCTGTAGAAACACACATGACCTGGGTCCTTGCATGGCAAAGCTAGTTTGCTAATGCCTTTCAGCTTCATAGTCCAGAAAGTTATAGTTGCACTAGTTAATCAGATGTATTGAACAAAATTATTGCAGAGGTGGATAAGTTAAAAGTATACTTGGGTGTGATTAAGAAAAGTGAATTGGTTTGCCAGTAATGTAAAACATGGATGAGGTTGGTTGGCACATCCAATCTTAACCAGTTTTTATGTTTATTGTGTCTATATTTTGTGTTGCTAATGCATATGATTATAATGTATGTAACCACATTTAGAGCCTCGAAGATGATTTTTCTGTAGCGGCAGAAATCCTTATTGAAAGAGACCGTGGGACATTCAGCTTTAGGCAGCAAATCTGACACATGCTATCCGCTAAAGACCAGATGAGAGTAAGCTAATATTTCAGAAACACTCCAGTCAGCTGTCATGTCAGCTCTTAACTATAAAGGATTTGAACCCATTTGTCAAGAGTTATAGTTTGACAAAAAAAAAAAATCTCTTTCCCCTTGCTAGATATTGTCCCCCGCCAATATACTACCACCTGTGACTATAGTTCCATGATTAATCCATGATTAAAGGGCAGAATACTACAAACACATCTGAATACATTGCAGTCCATTACAACACCATCACCAGCTATGACCTGGCAAATCTGCAGAATTGTTGTATTGGATTGCATTAGATTGTTCAGGTGTACCTATTACCGTAGCCACTAAGCATATTTTCAAGGTTAAAAATAAACCTTCAAACTCATAGTAACAGTAATCTAAAAATTAGATTAATTTTTAACCACTTGTGTCCTTGATCCTGCAATGTAAAGATCCAGAGCAATTTACAGGTTTTGTTCCTGGTCAAAACATCGTCCAGGTTAGAATCTGCTTGTATGATATGTTATCCTAAATGACAAATAAAATCACCTTCAGATATCAGGGTTTCCCCCAGTTGATATTACAACACACAGAACTGCAGACTCTTAACAAGTCTAAACAGGTTAGGTGTAAGACATAACTGCAACAGCTATAGCTGACCATCCCCATGAGTGTAGCAGCCATGTAGTATCTAGCTGTCTAATGTCTACCCTTTTGGCCTGCCTGACCTCTTGTACGCTGGGGTAAACCCTGAGAAGACCTAATGCTTCTTCGTCCTGATAATGCTGAGTTTCACTCCTGAGTACTGTCTCTGGTGGCATCCCACAGTCTGCTGAGTGAAGCTTTTTTTTCCCAGTGTGATTCTCTCGATGTTTCCCGTCAGCCTTTTGTCACTACTAAAACCCAACCCAGTACTCAAAACTGTTGGTGAAATGTGTTGACTGCTCTTAAAATATTAATTCAGTCTGACCCAGTAGCTCTAATTTCCAATGTATGACACTGTAGGCCTTTTTTCTGACATAGTAGAATCTCTTAAACACCCTGTAAGAAGTTGTAATGCTGAGGCATTGTTTGAATTGATGTTGATAAGTGTCTTTAATGCACTGAAGCTGATCGTAAACTGGTTGAACATTATCTTTTCTTTCTCTCCCCCTTCCTTTTGTCTGTTTCATAATGCCACCAATCATGTGACCTTGTACAACAGGTAAGACAAGTTTCTTTTTTTTCCAGTTTGTGTATTTTATTCTCAACTTTGTTGGGGATGTTGGACACCCCGACCCCACAGTGGTAATTCGACTCGACTGTGATTTGGTACTCATGACCTGAGACTTAACTTAGACTTGAGACAGATGACTTGAAAAGACCTGACCTTGCTTAGTTAAATATTTGCATTGTCTAGATATTGTAAAGTTTTGTTTTTGAAACATGATTGGTTGGTTCCCAGTAAAATGTGCACAAACCTGACAACCTGTAGGACACAGCAGACCAGTAGAGGCCATAGCATAAGGTGCCTGTCATGTTGGGGGCTAGTCCAGATATAATAAAATTTGGATTCAACTATTGTGTTGTCAGTGACAGTAGTGAGAAGTGAACAGTGGTACGCAGTGTCTGCAGCTCAAAAATCTGACATGACACCACAACATCCAACTTCATTCATCACTACAAACTTGCAAAGAAAGGTCTTTTTAGCTAACTTATTAGTTTATTGGCTGTTCAGATGTTAGCGTTGTAGCTAACGTTTGATCAGATCATCAGAATTTGACTTATGACCTGCTTGACATGAGCAATGACTTGACTTCCCTAGCTTGAATTACAGCAGGGTCTCGACGTGACTTGCTTGATTCTCATCACAATAACTTTGGACTTGCTTGAGACTTAAAGGTTAAGACTTGAGACTTGCATAGGACTTACATGTTTACCTTATTCCCACCTGTGTTAATTACTCACCTCGTATTACACTGAATTTGTGACTAAAACTTTGTTTTTCTCACATACCTCTCGTGAACGAAGAATCCAAACACAGAGAAAATTCTTGATGAATTTGAATAAAAGGGGGCAGAGGTTTAGCAAAAACAAAACTATGGCAAACACAAAATGTGCCAAAGTCACATAATAACACAAACAAACTAACTGACTAAGGCAGCGGTAGGCAAGCAGCTCCTGAATGAATTACTCATTTTGTCAATGGAGTCTGGCTTTAAAAAGAACATCGATAAATTTCACTTTCGTTTCAATTCTCTGTCAGAGAGGACTGTTTGTTAAGGAAATACTGTGGATAATGAGACCTGGGGTATACTGCATGAGTTTTGTGATAGTTGAATTTATAGTATATAGTTTTGTTGTTATTAAACGTGGATCCCTATGACTTCAATTCATCAAAAATGTTCTCCATTTTTTCATTTCTTTGTTCACTATGGTGGCATGTGAGAAAGACAAAGTTTTCTTCAAGAATTCCGTGTGCAGCAGGATGAGTCATTGGTACGCAAATGATTATTTGGGGGTGAAGTATTCCTTTAATCTGCTGGCATTAAAAAAATGATGGCCAGCCAGTATACTGGAATTGAGGCACCTCAGGTAGCTTGGAACAAAGGTGCACCGATGTGTGGTGGTTGTTTTAGAATCATTCCAAGGCCTTATGCTGCCTTTTAGCACTTGAGGCCATTTAATTATGCTCGAGGGCAATGGATGTCAGCGTGTTGCAGCAGAGAGATGAGTAATGTTGTACATTTAAAAAATGGAGGACATGCTGAATGTTGGTGTCATTTACAGTATGTATTGGTGACTGGGAGTTTATATTTTATTTTTAAATATGTAATATGTGCTACACTATTAAGTTGATTTTGTGCCAATTTCTTTGACAATACTGCAGGAATATGTGGATATACATTCCAAATTTGATGACATGTAGACAAGTGAATGTTTGAAGTATCTTAAGATAACAGGACAAATGTGTTACACTGACGTCAATAGTTGGAGTTGCTATAAAGCTTTTAAATGTGCGATCTATGTAGCACATCACACGGGCCTTTATAACAGTCCTTGTTATGGTCGATACGGATCAGCATTAGTGACAGCTGAGGCACTGGCATTGTATCACTATGACTTTCCACCCAGTAAAAGCTGCAAATGAATGAAGTTATGAATGAATTGTATCATTGTCATTATGTTTTTGAGCTGTTTTTAACATGGCATGCCCCCCAGTGTCAGCCAGATGTTATTGCTTGGAAAATAGTTGTTATACTTCACACAACATGAATTGATGTTGGACTATTGTCAGTTCAGGGATATGAGGGGTGTTGTATACTTGACAGATGAGCACTATGTTCCAATAGCAAGTGCACCTTTAGGTGCCACAAAGAGGACTTGTCTCATCCGTCTCAATAAGCAGAAATTATGGTAAATCTTTAGAGAAACTCTGCGGCTTTTCATTCACCTCACAGCTTTAAGTCTGTGTGTCTTTGTGTTTGTTGAAAGGCTGTCTCTGCTGCAGAGAACTGCACCACCAGGGCTGTCTACTTTGTGTATTCAGTCAGCACTAAGTTGTCCCAGGGTGAATATGTTGCTCTGTAGCTGGTCCTCCCTCAGCGCTGCACTTGACTGAGATCTGGTGCTGCTACAGCACAATCGCACAAACTTCATGTGGTTTGAAAAATGGAGGTTATTAACACAATCTATTGTGTTATTTTTCAAACGGACATTCTGGTCCAGTATAAATTGGGCTTTAAATATTCATTAGCCCATAAAGTGGTAATTACTAAGTTTGTGGTTCTTTCTAATACTAATAACCTTTTAAACTTGCTGCTTATAGTGATTCTGCACAGCACTTCTAAAAAATTGTAACAATTTGTTGTTGAAAATTGAATTAATGTGGAATTCTGCTTTCAGTGTTAACAATATCTATCCTGTTCTTCAGTTCATTCCAAATATATCACAAACAATTAACACACAATTCCATTTTGCTATGAAAGTCTGAATTTGTGTCAGATGTGTAGCACCAC